GGGAAGGCGCGCTGATCGGATTATCTAAGGAACTCCAACACCCACCGATTGGCTGTGTTTTGGGAGGGTATTTTTTTTTTTTGGCAGATGGGGCCTCCACCCATTCTGCCAGACAAATCTTGCTTGAAATTATTGTATACATTTGGTGCAATCGCTTTTGTGGTATTGCCCAGCCGAGGCTGGAGAACTGCATGAAAGCAAATTATACGTGAATTGGGCTCCAATTCTCACTTAAATATGACGGGTAAAGGCATAAAATCTGATTCTATTGATTTGTAAATTCTAATCAGATGCATTCTCAAGTGCATTCTTTAATAACATCTATGCATTGCACCTCCATTATGGAATTATGCAAAACTGGGAGAGAAAAAAAATAAGTGGTCTACTTACTCCTCCTTGACATGACACAGCGCTTTGTTATACTGCAGCCTGGAAGCATGAATACAGCAGCAGCAGCAGAGCGATGGATGTTTATAATGATGTGAACGAGAAGTCTGAGGATGTCATTTATCGAAGGGTGCACAAATTGAACCCCGACGTAAAGTCTAAGCAGCAAGAGACCAGATGTGCTTCTTGTTGGGCTCGAGCACAGCAAGACGTTAAAGAACCGCGGCGTTTTTGTCCTGAGATGCATCGAATCCAGCCCTTGTTTCCAGGATCGAGAAAACACTTTTTTCGTGTCTGATTCACAGCGTCTTTAAAGGCTACGACTCTCTTTGAAAAGAAATGAATCGCTGCTTAATTGGGAAGGGATTAGCCGTACGACTTTCAAATGAAGTTTTTTGTTCCTTGACATTAACATGAATATTTTAGTTATATTGTGAAGCACAGCCTTCAACAAAAAAATTATGCCCACATTTGTCCATATTTTATAAAGCCGTGTTTTATTGCTTCACAAGAATGTTGTTGAAGATCCTCACAAGACGACACCGAATCATTTCCCCGGAGCCTCGGCAAAACACAGTTAATAAAGGGCACCATTCACACGTACCAAATTCTCTGCTCCTTCCTTCAGAGTGAACCGCCGGTCGCGGTGAATACTAAATAGCCGCCCGTGCTACGGCAACCTTTCCCCCACCACACACGGACACCGCGCGTTTCTGCACCGAACGACGGCGCCTTTAGTGGACACCGTTTAAATTTCGATTTTAAAGCTTTCGTGACTGCAATGATTCATCTTCTTTGGTTCTTTCGGTAAAGTCACGTAGAATGAGAATAAAATAATAAATTGATAAAATAAAATAACACAATAATATTCTCACGACGTTTCGGGCCACAACACAAGCGACTTTACCGAAAGAACCAAAGAAGATGGACACCGTTTCTCGCATTAAAAACGATCGTTTACATTCGTGAGGCAGCTTTCATGCAGCAGATCCTTCAGTTTTTGGGTTTTGTTTTTGCCCCTACGATATCTGTATATGTCGGTGTCAAAACTCGTGCCGATGCCATTTGCTGGCCTTGCAGCATATTTTTTTTTGTTTACCGATAGTCTTAATACAATTACAACCTTCATCATCAACCGTGATCATTCGACTGCTGGATGAGGGCCTCCACCCAAGCCATCGCTATCTCTCAGGGTTCTGCAATGCAACAAATCGGCAAGCAGCAGCACGTGAGATAGATTCGGCGCTAAGTCTGCTTAAGCGGACTTCTTATTGTACACGCTCCAATCCTTGTTTCGCGAACACAAGTGCGTGTGCTTGGGCAGGACGTGCCGCGATAAGGAATGATGGCCAATGGATGAGGATAAAGATGGTTTCAAGTTACAATCTCGGTACTCGTTTGAACGAAAAGCAGTATACATATGTTGATTTGAAGCTTTCGTGACTGCAGGGATTCATATTCTTGGTTCTTTCGGTAAAGTCACGTAAAATAACCGCCACTTTTTTCAAATTTTCTTGCTGTGGTTTTCACAGCTGATGATGATTGCTTGTGTTGCAGTCGAAACGTCGTGAAAATTTTATTGTTTTATATTTTTATTATTTTATTGTTTCCCTTCTACGTGGTGACTTTACCAAAAGAACTAGTATGCATCTATGTTGAACTTCTTGTGCACGTTTGGTAGCCAACAGTTTTAATGGGAGGTAGTATAGCACTGCTAACTTTGCCTCAATGACAATAATTAAAACTTTCCTAAACTAATCCAATATTCAACAAAATGCAAAAAACTACTGTTTCTTCCCATCAAAGCGATGCAAACTGTGCATAATTAAATTTTGATTTAATTAGCTGGTAAAACGCTTCAATAACCTTGTCAGATGCTCTTTATCGAATTTGGTGCTTAGCAAAAGTAGACATCTGTCTAGCCAGACTCTTCAAACTGTGCACTCTCTCACCCCATGTCTACTACTGCTATACTATAAAGAACAAACAAAAAATCCTGTCCGCAAATTAGTTTTATGGCAGTGTCAGTGTGTCTACCGGAGTCTTAATGACTAGAATAGGGTAAAATGTCAAGTTGACAATACAGGATATGTAAGGCACTTCAACACTTTTAGACATTGTAACCATTGATATGTCAAGTATTTTAATCAGGATGTGAACAATAATGACGAAACAACTCACAATGACAATTGTGTAAAGTACACTGGGGTAGGAGTGGTGGCGCAGTGGTTAGCGCACTACGCTATGAACCTGCCAACTTGAGTTTAATTCCGAGCCACAGCCAACATCAGTGGTGAGTGACGCCTGAACAACTCTTGACTCACCCCTCTAATAACAACCCACCCTGGCTAGTATGGTGACGTGACAGTCAAACAACCCCTACAGCCAATATGGTCCCCGGATATATACTTTCATCCAGCAGTGGATTGACAAAGGCATGTTCATTGTTCAACTCATCATTACATTTACACCATGAGTAATACAATCTCTTTTTTGGCAGGCGAGTGCCACGACTCGACACGATTGCCTTTTGGCATTGAACACAGCAAGATTCCTCTGGCAAGCATTTCCTTCCGTGTGCTGACTCAGCTCAAAGTAACGGGCATGTCAAGGCTAAAATTTATAGACCCCCCCCCCCCCCCCCTTGCAGATTCAAAAGCTTTTAAAAAAAAATTCTATGACTGTATTAGTTTTTTTGCGTTAATAATAATATTCGCTTTGGAGGTTGTGCAAATTTAAGCTGTTGTTCACACTTGGAAATCCACATTGATTCATTCTGCACAACGACGTAGTATTGCATTGGGGCACTTGGGTTAAAATTGTTCCACAGGAGCAACACATCTACTCATCGAGTAATTTAAATGTGTATAGGTGAGCTTTTAAATAACACCAAAGGAAGATCTTTCATGGCACTTTCAGAGCACACCGAAAATCCTATCAGAGACAAACACTTTCATTGGCCGGGGGGGGATGTAGTGTAGTGGTGGCTGTTGGTCTGCATCTCACAGGCTCCTTAATAATGTATTTCAGTGACATTACCATTAACAACGAGTGAGCTGCCCCGAGAACGACGCTAATGTATGGTGTGTTGGGTTACAGCAGACCGCTGTGTGCTGATGTGATGTCTATATTTGCCGGGAAAAGCTGCCTGCGAGACCCATTACACGCAGAGACGAATGTTGTGAGACCATGGCAACGCTCGTGGTGAGCGCTCGGGATTGTCAAGTGATTTGCGGTGTTTTCGCCGTTTGCTAACGGTGAATTTGATTGGCAGCCCAATGAGGCTCCTGCGTCCTCCACTCATGCGAGATCATATCAGCGTGAGACTGTGAGCGGATCATTTATACGAACGCCGCTTAAATTTCAACATCATAACACCGTAGTTGCGGGTAATTTATTTTTCAACTTTTCAATGGTCCTTAATCGGGACGCATTGTTCGAATTTCAAATTTACCGATTCATGACAGGTGAATGCATTTGCTGACGGGGCAAGCATGGCCACGACACAAGCGCGATGTGATCTAGCCCGTGAAAGAAATGCCGTGGGATTGCCCGACTCGCGAAACCGCTTCAGAAAGACAGAGTTTGCGAGGTGACAAGATGCCTTGCGGCGGCACGGCAAGCATCGAGACATGGAACCGGCAAGCAAGGCCAGCCCGCAGGGGGAGGGATGGGGCAAAATGGGCAATTTGCCGTGGGACCTCAAACAAAACAGGGCCTCACATCGGGACCTTGTTCTTTGTTGTTGTTGCCAATTAACAAGGGCCCCCCCCCCCCCCACGTGACAGGCTGGGGCCCCATGGTGGCGAGATGTTAAATGCGTTGTTGACGTTTTGAAATCGTAGTATCGGTCGATTTTATAATGGAGATTGTGTTGTCCAACCACAGCAAAGTATGCACAGATTATATACATTAATAGTAATGTTTTATGAGGTTTTTGGTATAAGAGCCATGGTGGCGAGATGTTAACTACCTCGTCTGGTATACAGGAGGTCATGGGTTTGATCCCAACACTGACGCCGAGGCCTGTATATTTGGAGTTAGCGTGCCTCTCCCCCGACGGTCGCATGAATTTTTCTCCGGGTCCTCCGGTTTTTCCCTCCACATTTAGAAACATGCGTTTAGAGTATTTGGCTGCTAGAAATTTCCACACGCTAAGACACTCATTTGAGCTATAATTTGTGGCTAGGTAGCTTCTGAAAAGGAGCTACATAGCTCAGTGGGCCTTACCTGGTAATACAAAAAAATGTAGTAATAGGTTTTTACCCTTTTATCTGGCACAAAAACTGACACCTTTATACAAGGGATCATGTTTGCAAAAACCACAACACAAGTAGTCAAAATGCAAACAAAAAAGACAACTCTGATAATATGCACTCTCCTTGAATTTGATTGGTCCACACCCGAGACGGCTTTTCTTAGAGCCCCGTCTCCACTGGTGTTGGACCAGAAGATGCCAAAAGGCGTACAACTCAAAAACAAAACAAAAAATGTGTTAGTTAATAGTTAGTTCGTCTGCCCTGCGCCTTCAGTCCCAACACTCTAGACAGCCCAGCCAGTGAGAGATCTACCTATCCTCCATCCCACCACTCTCGCGACAGATAACGATTTACCCGCCGGACGTCGCGGCCAAAGAGCTCGCTGTAGCTCGTGCCCAGGATCTCGAACTGAACGTTGTGGTTGAGAGCATCGTCTCCAAAGTCCAGGATCCCTGTGAGGCCACTCACTCGGCCCTGTTGGTGGGGAGACGGGACAGGGACAGGAGAGTGGTTGTGCTGTGGAAATGTTAAAATGTGGAAAAGTGAGAAACATTCACAAAGTATTAAAATACGGATGTTGTTATTTTACCGAGGCTTTATATAGCACCGTATTCATCCCGCCACATGATCATACTTTCCACACAATGAAATTAAGGAAGGTCAACATTGGACATGATGGAGGGGGTTTGAGCCAAAGACTTAGCATTCGACAGAGGATTTAATTATGATACTAATCCATGATAAATTAAAATATAGACATACTTTACATATCTCTTAACAACCATGTAATTTCAATAACTTATTGGAATAGCCCGTGCTCTCAACTGTAGTATATGCTGGTGTATTATCTGGTTCATGTCAGCAGCAAGCAAGGCTGTCACGTTAGATCACGATTGCCAAAGTATTTTGGATAATTAATTAAAATATATATTTTAATGTAATATGAACTTATTTTTTTTTGCTAAATGAAAAAAACTATGATTTCTCCAATTAATCCAACAAATTGAATGCATACACTATCTTATTCACAATTTTTTTTTGACAATTCAAATGATAGTGTAAAACATTCCTATTTTTTGAGCCAACATTTTTTTCAACAGTACAACTTTTTAATTGTTTTGTCACTTAGAACACCTGCACACATTAGATTTTTTTAATGAAACAATGACGAACACTTACGTTTGGTTTCTCTCTCTCTCTCTCTTTTTACCTTAAAGCAATTACACTGCCAGATAAAACCATGATGGGGTGCCGCGGTGGCTATGAGATGTTAACTACCTCGCCTGGTATGCAGGAGGTCGTGGGTCCGATCCCGACCCTGACAACTGCTGCTGTATATTTGGAGTTTGCGTGTCTCTCATCATCACCACGGTGGCTAGGAGATGTTAACTACCTCGCCTGGTATGCAGGAGGTCGTGGGTCCGATCCCGACCCTGACAACTGCTGCTGTATATTTGGAGTTTGCGTGTTCTCCCCGTGGTGGTGTGGCATTTTTTTCTAGGTCCTTTTGTTTCTCCCTCCACATTTAGAAACGTGGGCTTCCAGTATTTGGCTGTTATAAATGCCTCCATCATAAGCCGATTCGTTGAGCTATCATTTGTGGCCAGGTCGCTTCTGAAAAAGAGCTATATAGCTCAGTGGGCCTTATCTGGTAAAGTAAAAAAAATAGTTTTAAAATAGTTTAATGTCTCGCTGTGAGACGCTCCTCGCTAGGCAAGTGCAGATTCATTCCTCATTCAATTGTTGCCTAAACACAGGTCAGCTGGCTTGGAGTCGGGTTTTTCAGTGTAAGGCACTACCATGAGAGTAAGAAGTACTCCTACCCATAATACTATTCTGCTGTACCTGATATTCCTTCAATTCTATGACCAGGTTTATATAAAGAAAATATATATGTACTCTTTAGATCACAAGCAAACTGAAGACGGTTGCTCGTGTGGCGATCGAACCGTCGTGATCTATTATTTTTTTCTACCCACGTGACTTTACCGAAAGAACCAAAGGAGTATGAATTCCTGCAGTCACGAAAGCTTTAAATTAAGATTAAACTATATATGCATTCAAAGGATCGATGTGAAGTTCCAAAATTATTGTCAGACCTGCGTGTGTGACTGCCTCTGCAGTCAACTCTGCTTGGTCCCCTCTCCCTATTTTCAAGTCTCTCCTTCAAACTTTCCTTTTCATCCATGGCGTTCAGACCCCATTAATTGCTTCTTTTCCCTCCATCCCTTTTCTCGGTCCATCTCATTCCCCTCCCGTCTGCTCCTTTTTTGCTCCTGTGCTTTCAGACGTTTGTTAGGGTACAGGCGGGCGCATTGCTAAAGTGAGTCGCCGTCGTTGATGTTGCTATTTCTCCGGCCGGAACGAAGCAATGAACCAAACTATTTTAATTTTAACCAGGTAAGGCCCACTGAGCTATATAGCTCTTTTTTTCAGAAGCGACCTGGCCACAAATGATAGCTCAACGAAGTGGCTTATCATCACACGTGGACAAATTGTCGCAGCCAAATCCTTTAAACGCGTGATTCTAAAAGTGGAAGGAAAAACCGGAAGGCCCGTGTAAAAAAAAACAAAAAACACGCGTCTACGGTGAGAACACGCAAACTCAGCAGGTGTCAGGGTCGGGATGGAACCCACGACCTCCTGCACACCCAGGCGAGGCAGTTCACATCTCGCCAGCCCTGCGGAGGTAAGGCCACATGCCCACGCAGATCGCACCTTGCGGATGGTGTCCAGCATCGAGCGGCCTCCGTTCCACGGCTTGGAGCTCTTGCGCAGGCAGCTCAGGCTGGCCATGCTGTGCCACTTGCGGTCCTCCAACTTGCGGTGGAAGGCGTTGGCGAGCAGCAGCACGCTGTCGTACACGTAGCGGCTCGACACCTGCCCGCGGTGGCGTGGAGGAGAGCGCACATCCCGCGGGCACAAACCAGGGGGAGACAGAGCGAGGTCGGTGGAGCGGTGCGCGTGCTATGGCGGCGGCTTGCACACTCGTGCGCTCGCTCGCAGGCCGACTGGAAATGCCGCTCGAGAGACACCACCGGAGAATACGGATACTGTCAGTAGGTTAACACGATAGAACCCCCACTCTGGCTGGATGATATGAAAAAAAGGAAGGGATGTCATTAATTATTATTCATATGAAAATCAAAGTTAATGTCACACATTCTCGCATTTTGGCGGATTTCACTTGCGTAGTGCATGTAATGGTGCTTAATGATCTTAATCTCTCTACCCTTTTTCGGGCTATCGCATATAACCTTCTGCGTCTAGTGTCCGTGCCAGAAAATGTTTAATAAAAAATAGCGTATGATGAATTGCTTAATATGCAACATGTATCACACAAGCACGACGGCACATATAAACCAGACGTACACTCACACTCTGTCAATTCATATAAACCAGACGTACACAAACACACACTCTGGCAATTCATAGGGGGCCCAACATCCTCTGCATTTTTCTTAGGTCCTTTGATTGATGATAACAAAATACCACCTTGCCTCATGGATTATAAACACATCATCAATGCTAGGCTTGCTGCAATTATTGACACACTCTATCTACAGATTTCCCACCCTCTAAGTCTCAAGTATCCTGTAGTCTTCTGACCGCCAAAAATTCTGGACAGATTTCAATTCCTGATTACACAGTTTACATTCACCCGATAGGATACGAAACATTATACAATATATTGTATAATGTTTCGTGACATGAATCTAAATTATTTTCCCGGTCAGATCTGTGACCGTGCATCTTCAGAAAACGTTTACTTTATCGACGAGCCTAACGAATTATGAATACGAAATATTAAAACCGAAGTTGACGTTCCTCAGATTTAACAGCCATTATTTCTGATGAAATTCTGGCAATATTTTGCTCGGAGAGGGCATCAACATAAGCCACCGGAGATTTGCCACAACTTCATGAAGCCACTCAACAGACGAATACAACGCCTTTAAAAAAGAAAGTTAATATACATTTAAAAAAAGAAAAGGACATTCGTGGGAACGTAGACAAAGGGAGGGGGAAAAAAGAGATATGATTGAGATATATTCTGCCGTGATAAACATATCGGTGTGAAACATAAAAGAACAGGGGCAATTTTTTTATATTGGATCGCTGCAATGTGTGGATAGCATGTTACTTACTGATAACAACACAAAGGTTGGCAATGCTCCTCCGCAGTATTTGGGTTTGAGGGAAATTCATTGACCGGAGAGTGATAAGAGATACTGTACAGTGCTTCATATGTCTTATGGTATATGAAGAGGAAGATTACCGAAAGACCCAAGAATAGGAAGATGACTTTTTTGCTGCAGTGCTTCCACTGAGTGCTCTCAATCAAAGTGCAATCTTGGCACGGCAGTAATGGTTGAATTTTGACTACTGAATCGAGTGAAAATTAGTGCACTTAGGATGAGCTGAGTAAGAATAGTGAAAATTATCGAGCAACATTTTAAGCTTTATTTTCGAGAAAATCACCTCTCTTGCACAGTCGTTTGAAATCATTTCAACCGAATCCATTCCTTTAATTAAAAGTTTCGTGAACTCACACTCTTAAAAGTGCCTCACAACCCACTCGTTTTGTTTAATTATTCAACTGCATTCTCCAATCGTATTCATGCTGACTGCATTATCACAACTTGCTTCTTTTATGGAACATTCATTTTTTGCTGTGATCTTTACCAAACCAGAAAGACAAAAAATATACCAGCGTGATATTCCTTCGGGAGACTTGAGGAATATCTAAGACAACATCTTTCACAACGCTCTCGATGATGGCGTCACCATAGAACGATAGCAGTCATGTGTACCACATCTTCCACAAGTTAATCTCCAATGAGTTTTGTCCCAAGCAATTTTTGTAAATACGCTTCCATCATCTTCATCAGTGAGAGAGGCGCTGCGCTGGCGAGATGTTAACTACCTCGCCTGATATGCAGCAGGTCGTGGGTTCCATCCCAATCCTGACACCTTTTGTATATTTGGAGTTTGCATGTTCTCCCTGTGGTTGCGTAACATTTTCTCAGGGTCCTCCGGTTTTTCAGAAACATGAATTTAGAGTTTTTGGCTGCTATAAATGTCCGCACGATGCGCCACTTCATTGAGCTACAATTTGTGGCCAGTACGCTTCTGAAAGAGAGTGATAGAGCTCAGTTTAGTTTATTTTCACTGAGCTGCTCGCCAATGATTTGCTAAACTACTCTTTTATTATTAATATATAAATAATAACGGTGGTGGTGATGGTGACATCTGGCCATTTCGATCTTCCAGCACCCTCCTCTGTTTTAGCCATATTGTTTCCAATTGTACCGACTCTTAAAATCATTTCTCAGCAGGGCATAAATACGGATTCCGTGGGGACTCTGAAGCCTCCCTTCCTCCGCTGTGTTGTCGCGCCGCCAGACAGGTCAAACTGGCCTCACGTGCGCACCACCTCAAAGAGAGGCCAGCTAAATAAAAAATGACACAATGTTTAATGGGTACGGCCCCCGGAGGAACTCGTGGCTTTGGCAACACTGCCGAGACGGTTGATGAATTGCTTATTTTCAAAATCCGCTTGATGCTTTGAAGGGGATAGAGTGGCCTGGATTGGTGGGGGGGAAGGGCAGAGTTTATGTACGTTGAACTTCTTACACACCGTACGTAGACAACCGTGCTAATTGGAGGTGTGTGATGACGAACAAATACAATTTAGTTTTTTTTGTTTGCACTGAATTATATATTCTGGAGAAAAAAAAACGAACTGCGACTTAGCGCGTTACAATATGATATGAGAACACAGATTGTATAATGAAAAATAAAAACATTTATCTGATGGCGCTTTGGGTGGCAGATTTTTGGCATAAAGGCGCCACGTGTTAACCAAAAGTAAATTGACTTGACATTGTTGATTTTTTTTAAATATGTGTGAGTGCAAAATCCATTAATGTCAAAACTGAGCAAGGCTCTCAACAAAAAGGCTCGAGGCAAGAATCACGAAAATAAAAATTATTGTTGATTTGAATAGATACGTAACTGTGTCAATAATACAAATGATACACTTAAGGGATTATTTACCTGTACTCTTAAGATGCTAAGATGTACAGTACGATGTATTATATCTGTTCAGGTGAACTACAGCATTACAAACGCTCACTTGACTCGGCCCCAGAGTGTCATTGTAGCCGACAATGACGCTATAACAAGCCTCCAAAGGACAGCATCAATTATTATACTAACAAACCCCATCAATACCGACCCAGCTCCCTCGGCCCTGCTGTCAATGGGCGTCATCAAGGTTTCTTCACAGGGCGCACAAAATGCCATTAGGTGCGCGGTTTTGAGGCTGCACAAATCGGATGACCGATGCCCAGAATCAGAGAAAATTCAGTGCTCCAAAACCTCGGACGATTCCCCCCCCCCCCCCCACCCCATTTTCAGCAGTAACCTCAAATTTGTCGACGTCTGGCAGAGTCGCAAATCAAGGGCTTTTTGAGGCAGCCGGGAGCTGCCCCGTGCCCGTGGGGCTGACGTGGGAAAAGCTCGGTCCGCGCCGACGCGACGGTCGGTCGCCTCGCACCTCGAGGGACTTGGCGTCGCCCGTGCCGCACAGGGACTCTGAGATGCGGTGGTTGTTGCGAATGCAGCGCTGGCTGGCGTTGCGCGCGACCGGGAAGCTCTGTCGGATCACGGTGAGCCTCCCGATGGCCGTGCTGGCCAGCTCCTGGATCTCGGCGTCGTTGATCTCCTGCAGGGAGGGGAGCAGATGTCACGGACACCCGACAGATGGCTCGCGTGACCTGTCCGACCCACGCACCGATTGTGTTTATTGTTAACACTCCATTTAGGCCCGCTTGGGGAATCCGCCGCATCATTAACATCATCCTGGCACTGACCAGAGAAACTTTCAAAGTCACGGCGCTGAACAAAAATCAATGCGATGACGTTTTCACCGTGGTTACCTTAAGATGTATAACAGCGTAACTATATATTTTTTATTTAACATTAATATCTGAACCCAACAAATTCATCACTGACACTGTCTTAAAGTGAAATATTGATATATAATAGGCGAAGTTTTGGTCAATGGCCCTTTTACATAGCACAAGATGGTCCTTCTTTACCTCCGTGTTTGTTTTTTTACTCTGCTGATGCACCATTGTCAACGAAGTATCGGAAATCCAATATTGCTTGATTTTCTCACGGCAAAGCTTGCATTTTAATGCGGCGAGCCACTTATTAATATGGCAAAAGCCACGAAAACGCATTAACAAAGGTCACCTTACCTCATTAACAAATATCCAGTGGCTGTCCATTGCAGCCAGGTTCGCTTCAATAGCCTGCAAAAACAAAACAGAGAGACAAGTCTGGCAAAGGCAGGGAAAAAATACTTGCATCAACAATGGCGGTTTCCACAGGCAACTTGACGTCAATGGTTTTCCAGGTTACAAAGACAATTGCGAGTATTCGAGTAGAGATATAAGAAGCCTGCTTGAATACGTTACAATGACAGATAAAGGTACAGCCCTAAAATTGCTTGCTTGCTCACGCCAGGGATTTGCAGCCTTGTATCAGCTGCCTCGCCGGGAGGTGATATAGATAGTGAGTGCAGTGTGTTAGATATGACATCACTGCAGCATTCCAACATTGTATGATACTTGCAACTTTGTAAAATTAAAACTTTAATCGTACTCATAAGTTTAAAGAAGTTATAAATGTAAGTTGTGAAAAAAGCTAGAGGCATTTATTAAACTGCAATGTATGAGCTGCAATTAAAAAGATTGTACATAAAATGTACGGTTTTAAAAGGAGCCACATTTAACAACTATAAAACAGTGGAGACTTTTATCATCAGAATAAAAAAATATATATGAGCACCAGACTTTTTTTCCTCCTTCGAAGCCCCTTGCAAAACACCCAGCCTGCATGCGAACTCGCGCCCAACCTCATTCTTTTTTCTCTCTGTGCACTGGTAAAAATTGCAAAAGACACCGAATTCCCGGAGCGGATGTTGAGAACTCTCTTGTCAGAGGATCTAAACGCGCCGCCCCCGTGTGCCTCCCATCACACACAGTGCCGTATTAAGCTAGTGCGGGGCCTGTAGCATATGTTATAAAGGGGCCCTAAAAAAATACATATTAACCACACATTTTAACTTGCATAGTAAAGTAATTAATTTGTTTCATTTGCTATACAGCCAGATATTACGACAAATCGCTAACCTTAAACACCCAGCCGTTCATAAAAGTTGAAGGCAGTATAGTACTATAGTCATCGAGCAAGTGCAGAATCACTGAACCGGAATTGATAGCTTGAAAGCGTTTAGCGCGGGGACGTTGAACGTGCGGGGCCCGTAGCACGTGTAGCTACTCTTGCTACTCGGATAATCCGGCATTGATCACACACCCCCCCCCCCTACCCGCGGGTGGCACGAGGAGCGGGCCAGCCAGCGCGAGGCTGCAGCAAGGCAGCGGCACCCCTCGCGAGCGACACGGACCGTGCCCACGGCTCTCGAAAAGTAAAAAAGACAGGCAATTTGCGTTGACCTACCCGACCGCTGATTTTTTATTTTTCGAGCAAAAGCATATGGCAGGATATTAAGGACCGTCAATCGGGACTTTGAGAAGCGTAATGGCCCGATGCTTTTCCATTCGGAAGCGGGGTTTTTTTCCCAGCGTAATTTTACAGTCACTTTGTTAGATGTGCATACAAATCGCAGATGGAAGTGTGGGATGTTCATAATAATGTATGTAAAAATGTAATTGAATAAATATATAATTCGATCTTCAATCTTGTGCCCACCGAGACGACTGGACGAAAACATTGACTTTTAGCAATGCGCGATGTTAATGCTATGTAATGTGTGGCTGAATTGATAACACTGTCATTATTGGGTGGCTTTCCATATTTAGCATGGTGCTCCAACTTCCTCTTTGGTTTAAAGGTGGACGCGCAGTGGTGATGTTGCTGCTGCCCAACCCAACCTTGGCCCAGGGCAAACTCTCTTTCTCCCTGCCATTCGACTTTGTTATGTTTCTCCTTGCCCTCCTCCGGGTTTGTTCCTGCCCATCGCTTGGCCTAACCCTCACGCTGCCTCCTCCCTCTTGCCCCCACCTTGTGTTTCCCAAACTCTATTTGCCCGTGAAGCTGCCCTGAGGCTCGTCGATGCTGCCCAGGCTTCCCGTAGACTTCTTCGGTGTTGAGTCCCAGCCTTCTCGAGCATTATGCCGGGACTCGTTGGTGCTGCTTCGGCTGACCCCGTAACTCGTTGGTGATAGTTTCCGACTCACCTGGGACTGCCCGCGCGTCAGTATTTACATGTACTGTACGTATATTGAACTTCCCTCGCACCGTACGTAGCCAACCGTGCTAATCGGAGGTGCGAGAGAAGGCCAATAAACTAAACACGAAAGTAAAATTTTTAAGAAATTAATTTTCAATCTAGAATTGAAAGTGCATAGCTCCAGCGGCTTCCTAATATCGGGAGGGAGAGCGTTCCAGACGACCGCAGGAGTGCATCCGAAAGTGTGCGATGTGATGACCGTCTCTGTACTTGGCCTTGTTGGCCCAAAGTTGTGGCATTGGTGCTCTCTCGCTCTCTCTCTGCCCTCATCTTCCCCCTTTCTGCCCTTCTACTTTCACCTTCGAATGTCGTCCCTCACTTACGCTAAGTGTGATGTGATGCGGTTGAATTTCGACGCTAAATGCATTGAAATTGTTGTTGTCTTGGCAAAAAAAAAAAAAACACTGTATGCGACCAATCCCGCGTGGGAATGCAGTCATATTAAATTGCAGAAATGTTTTCACAGTATGGTCACAACTCATTGCAAAATCAATATTCTTAAAGCAAATATCAATCAGATATTTTGGCGGACTAAAGTCCAATATAACAATACATTGTTCAACAACACTGATTTAGGTTGAAGGAACAGAATAGGAGAAAACGAATCAATGCTGACACTTAATAGAGGATTTAAAAAACAAACTCAATTCAGTAGCTTCTTCGGATCTGCTTCAATTTGGAAACTATATATACATACCCTAATAACCCCAAATAAACGTAAACAAATACACAAAATTGCATGCAGAATTTCCTTTTACGTAAACTGTTAAACACATGCGATATTTTTAGAATCCTAGTAATTGGACAGAGAGCTCAAAGTAACTTGATGATTGTCACTGTTAAATATTCGGGAGTAGCAAGACACAGCTATGGCTGGATATGAGGAGAGAAAAGAGTGAGTGGCTCTGAGGATTTTCAGCCACATGAAATGCTGACATGCTGCATAATAGATTCAGGAGTGGGTTCAAACACGCTAATGAGTAATCCCGCAACGCATTGAATAGGCAGGTGGAAAAATGAGGGCTCGTGGTTTTATGAGGGATGGGTGGTGAGATGGGGAAAGGCATAGGAAGGGATGGGTACACAGGCACGGAGAGAGAGAGAAGGATTTACACAGAATGAAAAAAAGTCGGGAAAGCACTGAAAGCCAACATCGTAAGAATGACAGCTCAGTCGCTTGATATAAGCCAGAATGATTGAAGCTGTTTAAAACCATTAGTAAAATGAAGGAGCCAGAGGCAGATTTATTTTGTAAAGTTATTCTTGAACAGTGTATGGTTATATGAATATCTTCAAATTGAAAACCCTAAATGGAAGTGGCAATCTTCATATATATTGTGGTTATGTTGTCAGATTGAGCAACAATATTTTATGAGTTGCCACTTACGAAAATGCGAGTATTACACTGTGTATGTGCAAACATGGTAACATTCTGAGATAAAATAAACTCCGAACCCAAAGTAAATTGGTTAATATGCACATTAGCAATCAGTTTTACCTCCTAATAAAAGCCATAGTTTCACATTTGTAATAAACAATTGTGCATCGTCGTTCTTAATCTATCGATTGTGATGTAATGTTTTTTTATAATGGTGACAATTTGCGAAACAGTTTATATTCAAACTAGATCCTAATGAGTCTACCACTTAAAACAATATAGCAGCTCAGTATATACAACAGTGAAGTATATATTATCTGGAAATGAATACAAAAAGCCAAGGAACAATTTTAAATAAAAAAATGCTTTAAAAATGTAAATCTCTTACGATCTTAAAAATCACGACTTTTAGTGGCATTACTAATAACATTTTACAGGCACAACATTTAATAATAAAGCCTGCAAGTCAACAGAATCACATAAAAGTGTTTAATGTACTGCAAATAAATATGCCAGGCTACAGGATCCATACGCGATCAGTTTCAAGTCCAAAGAGCACATTAGACCTTCCTCGCTGCACGAGACCAGCAAGAGCTGCAAATATTTCATCATCAAGCATAATCATTGTCATCATCATCAACGCTGCCTTAAAATTTAAACAAATATATGATAATCGAACAATCTTGGCAAAGCTGCTTGTTCAGAATAGTAGGTTTGACTAGTTTTTACACTGACTAAAACTTGAAATCGTGTTGCAACCTTTGCTGCAGTGACTACGTATTATTTAGCATTAGTATCTTTTTTTTGTAAACGCAATCATGATTTATTGGGATGCTCCATTTTTAGCTTTGCGTGTTTATCCCTCCAGCCTCTTTTCCATTTAGTTTTATGACGCCGGCCTTAACATATCACAGCTTACACTATTGATTATCTGCCATGGGGTGATAAAAAATAGAATTGATGGTACCCATTCCCCTATTTCAAGCGTTTTAAGTTATATACAGTTCAGGCGCAACATCCCCAAGGAGGAGGGGGAGGGGGGCAGCAGGCCTATTGGTGAAGAGGCATCTGACTCGGGGTAGCAAGAATCGCAATGTCCTTGATGGGAATGTGTACAAGGGTACTATAACAATCAGCTCTTTGCCAATCCACTGACAGATGAAGCCCCCCCCCACCCCCCCCCCCATGCATTTCGCTCATTAAGGTTGTTTGCCCATTAGTTTATCGCGCTGGTGAGTGCGGGGCTTGTCCAAGGGTTGGATAGGTGCAGAGAGGAGGGCCAGAATTGGTTTCGAATGTCACTCGGCGTCTGCGGACGTTAATCACGGTCGAAAATTTGAACTCACGCGGGCGAATTCGTAGCGCGGCTTTTCTCTAAATCCGGTGCCATGACTCATTCGCGAGCAAGAAGACGAATCATTAAAACTTGACGTGTGGACGTTGTTCCACTGCGAATCGTGATCGATGCTAAGCTATTCTGAGCATGGCCAAAATATTTCACGACAAGCAACGCTGAAACGAACGCGGTAGAATACAAAGTGACATGTTCGCGTGTTTAAACACAACATTTTTGTAATGAGGGGAAGGTGATGCAGGGCTTTCTCCAATGCATACTTAGC